AGGAGGACCTACCCAGGTGCTCCAGGCTCCCCTTTGCAAGGACTTTGGACATTAATCCAACTATGCCTCTAGTGCAGTTGGGGGAGATGTGATGAGAGTAAGAAGAATGGAGCTCTCTCAGGTCCGCTTCCCCAAACCTCTGTCAAACAACCCCTCTCTCTCATCCTTTTTCCCTCCTCTCCTCTCGAGGTGGGTCCCTCTCTGTTTCTAGCCTATTGTCTCGCACTCACAGAGAGCGCCTTTCTTCCCAACGGCACTCCCTGCAGCAGGTGGTCTGACTGATACCGAGCATCAGCTCCAGAACCCTGACACAGCTGAGCTCTGCCTAGAAGTGATAATACTGATGGATTAGTCCAGGACCACATGAGTGCATGACGTCTGGACTACACCCAGCAAGGGGGGAGCACTTCCGGGGGATGATCAGAAAGAAGTTTCTAGGGGTTCAGAGAACTGGAGACTTACTTCCATATTTCTGTTGATGCATCATGTTTCCTACCCACCTGGGTTTGATTGGTTCTCTCCATCTGTCCAGTCTTCAGGAGAAGGCATGGATAAATGGACATAATGGCTATGTCCAGGTGGGTCCTCTAGGAAAAGGGAGGAAGCTGAGTGTCTCATTCAAAAAGGATCTCTTTGAAGAGATGTTGTTGTTGTCATTATGTGCTGTTGAGTCGGACCCAACTCATAGTGACCCCTCCTTGGGTTTCCGAGGTGGTATCACTATGGAAGTTGGTTGCTCAACCTTCCTTCTGAGGAATGGCTGGTGGGTTTGAACTGCCAGCCTTAGCAGTCAAATGCCTTAGGCATTACACTACCAGAGCTCCCTTTGGAGAGATGGAAGATGCAAATTGTATTCCAGCAGGACTTGTGACATTGGAAAGGTGTTAGGGAAGATGTCAAAGGATAAAGTAGGCTTCACAATGTTTCTTGGATGACTCAAATTTAGTATTTCTCCATAAAGATGACTCTAGTGGTGTATTGGTGAAGATAAATGTCAGGGTTCTTTCTTACAGATAAGTGATTTGTGATATCTTCCATTGTCATGGTGAGCACTGTTACTTATGAAGTATGTCTTATCATTTATGTTTATTGGGATAAAAAGTGTTGTGAATCTGTAGGACACAGAAAGTGGTATGCAGCTTACTTCTTCCTGTTGAAGTTGTAATGTGACTCACCCCAAGGTTCTCCTCTCTAGACTATGGAAGATGACTTATTCCAGGGGTTTATTCTGCAGAACTTGTAAGAAGATAGGTCATAAGTTTGCTTCCTGTCAATTTTGATGTCTTGGGCTCTTTATCAGAGTCTAGTAGATATAGGTGGCACTGAATAAGCTGGCTAGGATGAACATGGTATGAAAAGGATGGTGGAAATGGGGTAATCCTCTTCTCAGCATCTGTACTAGGATATCATGTGACCAAAAAAATTAATCACAGTGAAGCAATGGGACCAATTTGCCAGATGAGCTAAGAAGCAACATGATGAAGAGGTACTCCGGTTTTGATGGACCACAAGCCTTGCTAAGAGGTGCTTGCATTCAAAGACTACTCTTCAGCCTACATGCTGTCATTCAATTCTGCAGGTATTAGCCTCTGGAGAAGGAATGGGTGTAGACAAATAGAATTCTGTGACCCTTGTCCCTCAGAAACAATGATAACTGAGTCCTGGCTATAGGTACCTACCTCAACCATGAATTGCTGTATATGAGTAGAGTGCACAAATGAATGCTGTAGTAAAATAATTAAATTTGTTTTGTGCTTTATATACTCACACAGTTTGTAATGACTATTGTATTCTCTTATTTTAATCATGAAACAGTCCTTACTGTCATTAGGGTAGGCATTATTATCAATACTTTGCAGATAGGTAAAATAAGCCTCAAAAGTGACTTGGCTAGAACTAGACAACTAGTGAGTTGCTGATCCAAGAGTTATACCCAGAAATTCTGGTTTCAAGTTTAAGGTTCTGGGGTGTTCCTGAATGGGTAAGAGACAGCCTGAGCTGCAGGACTTCCCTGAATTTGGTGGCCCTTTTTTCAAACAGGGTATGGTCATTCAGGAAAAGTCAATTGCTGGTAGAAGCTTGAGGATGTAGTTAACTGCTGGACACAAAATCATCAGGAGAGCCACTTGATGGTCACATTTGCATCTTCTTACGCAAGTTTAACACCCTAGGAATAAAGAATACTTTTTGAGAAAGTTTCTCAAGCTGTGTTTCATAACCTGTGCTTTTAGTGGTATTATGGGTTGATTTACACACATGAGAAGGGCTCAACACTGAGCAGGGAAGAGTGATAGAATGTTGCACAGATAGGTGACCATAAGCAGCCCATCTCTGGCCCTGAGCTCCCAGGGGGTGGGACCTGCTACATAATCAACCTTGTTGTGTCTATTCACATCCTCACTGATCACAAGTCTTTCCTCAGAAATTCAAAATTACCACAAGGAAGTCAGAAACCATTGCCTGTTCCTTGTCCTACTTCTCTGGATCAGACTATTAGCTTCCTCTCCATCACCCCTGTCCAGTTTTGCAAGCCAAAGAACGTTTTGCAATTGTTTGGGAAGCTGTCATTGGTTAAGAGACCTCAACTCCCTTTCCTTCACCCTCAGCTGATTTAACAGAAGATGGTAAATACTGGCACAATTTCTTATCCTTCTTCCTGAAGAAAACAAGCACTTAGAAGTGTGTCTTAAACCAAAAAAACGCAAACCCATTGTCATCAAGTCAATTCCAATTCTTGGTGACCCCATGTCCCTGGGGTGCAAAGGGATTTCATTTGCTTACTTGCCCACCCAGAAAGACCTAGCAATCTGCTCCCATAAAGATTATAGCCTAACAAAACCCTGTGGGGCAGTTGTACTCTGTCATATGGAAGTTGCTATGAATCATAATCCACTCAATGACACTTAATAGCAACAACTAACCCAAAGGTTGGCTGTTTGAACCCACCCAAAGGTGCTATGAAAGAAAGGCAATATGCTTCCATAGTGACTGTAGCCAAGAAAACTGTAGGGGTAGTTCTACTCTGTAACACATGAGAGCTCTGTGAAGTATGTCTTATGTTGTTGTTCTTAGCTCCCATTGAGTAGGCTCCAACTCATAGCGACTCTGTGAACAACAGAAACATGCCCAATCCTGCGCCATCCTCACAATATTTGCCTTGCTTGAGCCCATCATTGCAGCCACTGTGTCAATCCATCTTGTTGAGAATCTTACTCACCCTCTATTTTACCAAGCATGATATTCTTCTCCAGGAATTAGTACCTTCTGACAATATGACCAAAGTAGGTGAGATGAAGTCTGGCCATTCTCACTTCTAAGGAGCATTCTGGTGGCACTTCTTCTAAAGATAGTTTTGTTCATTCTTCTGGCAGTGGTATTTTCGGTATTCTTTGTCAACATCACAATTCAAATGCGTCAGTTCTTCTTCCATCTTCCTTATTCATTGCTCAGCTTTCACATGCATATGAAGGGCTCTTGAAAATACCATGGCTTGGGTCAGGTGCACCTTAGTCTTCAAAGTGACATCTTTGCTATTTAATACTTTAAAGAGATCTTTTGCAGCAGATTTGCCCAAGTAAAACAGAGATGTGGTACTGCTCCATCTAGGAAAGTTACAGCCCAGGCAGGGAGCTCAATCCCTTTGTAGTATCTGGGCCTTGAGCAGGAGAGCTATGTAACAGACCCAGGGGGAAGGATAGCTGATTTTTCAACGTAGTCTGAGAAGTTGGTATTTATCAAGGAGCTGAGCCCAGCCCTAGGTTGTTTGGGATCAGGATTTCCTTATGGGTACACTCAAGACAGATGACTTCCACCAGGCTGATGTTTTATTGAACGTGAAGGTAGACTTCAGGCCACTGAAGCAATACAGTAGCCTAGGTGGAGCTCCTAGGTATCCCTTGGGCAGCGCATATGGTTAAGCATTTGACTACTAGCCAAAAGGTTGAAAGTTCGCACCCACCCTGAAACTCCTTAGAAGGTAGGCCTGATGGTCTGTTCCCAGAGGTCATAGCCTTGAAAACTCTATTGAGCAGTTCTGCTTTATCCACAGGGGGTCTCCACAAGTTGGAATCAACTCAATGACCACTAATAACAACAGCGACAAAAACAGGTGGAGAGCCAGGAGCTGGAGAGAGGACAGCTTCCCCACTAGTCATCACAGATAAGGACTGAAGAACGTAACTAATAGCACTTGTGGGACCAGCACCATTCTGGGGCACAGCACATGCCTGTAGGTGAGCCAAGGCAGGTGACGAGAAGTCAGGGCATACCAGGATTTGAGTTCAGAGACCTGAGAATGGAAAGAAAGCAGATTCACCCTGATTTCTTTTATATTTACATTTTGTGCTCAAGCTCACAATTCTAGGCCCTGTATTAAGCGAAGATGCTGACCTGGATCCAGGTAACCACTCACCTTAAGGTGCCCCAGGTCACATTGCCCTTTCCTTTTGCTCTATGACCCATCCTCCCAATCAGAGCTTAGCCATTTTCCTAGGCTGAGCCCCACACATTTAAGGATCAGCCTTTTATTGGTATACCTCACCCATAAGCCATGAGGACAAACAACAGAAAAAAAGGACACAGACAACCTGGAGCTCTGCAGTCCTTCCCCCATGCCCTTCTGGGCCAGAGACCTGTCTCCTACTTGTCTGAAACAGGGGGCTTCCTACCATGATCCCCCAGTGATGAGGGTGGAATGAGGGAGGGGAGCCCCCTTCTCCACTCCACTAGGGGTCAGCTCAAGGTGAGACATTAAAGGAGCTCCGACTCTGTTGACTGAGCTTGGTAGGGAGACAGCACAATTCAGTCTTCCATTCCTGGCCTTGGTCCCCGCCCAGATCTACGTCGTGCTTTCAGGAGCTTTTATGGAAATTAGACTCACAATGAAGTCCAGCCTCCCTCTTCTCCAGCTCCTCCCATTGCTCTGTCCTCACCTTTTCTGTCTGACCTCTGGACCAGCCCTCCATTAGGCCCATCTGTAAGCAGTACCCCCCCAACCTTTACCTTTCCCACCCATCTTTCCTTCCACCAACACCTCCACCCATCTCCGTGTCTTCTTTACTCCCTCTTGCCCCTCTTCAACCCTCTGCCTCCTAGTTCCCTCCCACCTCCTTTCTTCTAGTCCCCTGAGATTTGCTGCAAGAGGGGGAGAGAGAGCCCCTGACAGGATTGACAGTCATTCCCCACCCTTCCTCCTCCACCCCACCCTCCCCCCAGCAGGCACAGATCCCCCTACAAAAGGCCAGGAGACAGAGGCTGTGCGAGACCAGCTGCTCTCAGACTCCCCTTCCTTTGCCCTCTGCTGGCTTGGCTGGAGTGTGTCTCTACAAGCCTCCTCTTCTCTAGATGAGAGTGGGCACCTGGTGCCAGGTCCTCCACTTCATTCCTCATGAAAGCTATGGAAAATCCTGAGGGGCAGGAGCTTCAAAAACTGGGGAGCGGAGCCTGGGATAACCCTGCCTACAGCAGTCCCCCTTCCCCACATGAGACACGGAGGATCTGCACCACCTCCAGCTCAGTGTTCCCCAAGTCCCAAACCAAGAAGCCTGAAGATGGACCCCAGGAGAAACCACGCACAACACTGGTGTCCAGCTGTTGCCTCCATATCCATCGAGGCATCAGAGGTATCTGGTGGGGGGAAGGTTCTCCTGGAATATTGGAGCCAGGAGAAGGGGTCAACAAAAGTTTTTAGGAGTAACTGTGACCTAAAGAAGGGTGAAATCGCAGTGTATGTTTTGGGATTTGTGACTTGTCTATAGTAGAGCTGTATGTTCCCCACACAATCCCCTAGCCTCCCAGTGGAGGAGCCTGGTGCAGTCACCACGGGGTTCAGAGAGGTATGTGGAGCTAGTTTGAAGGAGGGTTTTATGATAGATACCCTGGACTGCTCCACCTGGACAAGTGCTTCCTTTTCATGCCTTCATTCTCCTCAACCCAGTGCCTTCACCCTTGCCTCTCCCTAGGATGTATTTCTTAGGGAGTTTGATGGAGGAGGGTAGACATAGGTGTGGTTAGAGTAGCCAGATTCAGTCCAGGGATAAGGTGAAGGGTAGGGAAAAGGGCTGGAGTTGAAATGGAATTCAGGGGAAGATAAGTGGCAATAACTGGGAGGGACGGTGCTGTTGGGGGACCCTGGACATCTCTTCGATGCTCCTTAGGACTTTGGGGAACAACCCTGACTGAGAATACAGCTGAGAACCAGGAACTTTATGTTAAGACCACTCTGCAGGAGCTTTTGGTGTATATTGCGTTCCTGGTGGACATCTGTCTATGTAAGTAACATCTGTCTTTGTGTACATCTATCTGTGAGAAGCATCTATGTGTATCACATCTGTGTACACATTTCCAATGGCAATGGTATCCATCTGTGTAAGCAAGCTATGTCCCTGGAACTTTAAATCAATATTCAAATCCTATTTATTATCTTTTCAACTTAATATATTTTGTTATAAAAAGAACTTGTCATTGAATTCAGTAGAAGACAGATGATTTAGAAAGCTGTTAATAAAATTTACTTTGTCAAAGATCGCAAGGGGAGCCCAATTTTTAAACTTAAGTTACTGACATCTATCAGAAGCCATTGTTTTCTGTTGGCAGGTAGAAGCTTTTACCCAAAGAGTAGAGCCCATTCTTTTCTGTTTGGGGAATAAAAAAAAGTTTGGTGGGTTTCATAAACTTAATACTCTATGTCTGATCTACATTTCTATACAAGCAAGAAGAAAAAGCTCAGATCCCTGATGAAAGGGTTAGAGATGCAATTGGTGGGCTGGTGGTCAACACAGTCAAGATCCCCATGAGGTCCGTGTGACATAGCACTATGCCAAAGGTGGGTGGAAGAAGCTGACTTGAACCTTTAGCTATAGACACAAACTGGGAAGGTTTGGTCTTTAAGTTGAGAGGGGCAGATGAAAAGTAGAAGGGTGAACCATGGAAGCACAGAGGCTAATAAAAAAAAACTATAGATGATAATATGGTTGGACACAACAGATATTATGACACCTAGTGTGTAAGGCACTTAACTGTTCAAACCCACCAGCCACTCCTCTAAAGGAAGATGAAGCAATCTACTTTCGTAGTGATACTGCCTCGGAAACCCAAGGAGGGGTCACTATGAGTTGGGTCCGACTGGTCGGCATATAACAACAACGTAGACAGGGGAGTGCTACTTTGTACTTAGTTAATTGCTTTGTTTAAAACTTGTGCAACAAGTAACATTTGGCTAGTTTAGAAGAAGTGTGTGTATATGTAAGTGTTGATTAAAGCTGTGGACTGGACGTTAACACTAACATATCTCCTGTTACTAAGTAGGTTTTTACCTTACAGAAGGCTTCATTCTTTTTAGGGTGCATGGACCTTTTGAAAGTAAGATCTGAAGGTCTGATAACATTAAGTGTTGAGAGGAAAGTTCATCGTCCTTATGAGCTACCCACATTTGCCCTCGGAAAAAGTTCAGCAGAAAGCACTTGCCTCTGGCTGTACTCTGATGTGACTCTCTGTGCTGGAAATAGAAGGAAATTCTGAGTATTTGCTACCAGTCAGTCAACTTGGAATGAAAGGAGCTGGGGCGTTTGGGGAACAACAGCATACCCAGTGTACACTTTGCGGGGCCTATTCGATTCCTTTCAGCAAATGACTGTCAGGAATTCATTTGTTGACATATTGATATTGCCCCTTAACCATCTGCTAGGAAGGAGAGCTCTTCTCCTTTTTCATATCCCAAGGCAGCAGCTGAAACCCACAGGCAAAGAACCTTTCTTTCTAAATGACTCAAATGTCTCTATTTCCAGATTAGCCTTTGGAACAAGACTGGGAGATTTCTAACTCCCCAGAGTACAGTGAACCATTTCTGACTCCTCTTAATGGGGCCAAAAGGGGTGGAAACTTGGATTCTGGAAGCCCAGAAGCCCATTCACTCATGTTCTCTATCTTATGAGATCCCAGTGCACTAGTGAATGCCAGACAGTCTGTGACTTGCCAAAATCTGAGTCATAGACTCAGCCCAGTAATTATAGAATCACTGAGCAGCCAGGGGGCTTTCAAGGGCATGTAGCTTGAGGATACAGAGGGTGCAGCCACCCCTCCTATGACCCCTCCTAGGGTGCTGTCAGGTGGCCAACCAGCCTCACCCGGGGGATATTGATGAGGATGTCATTGTTTCACAGGGCAACCCCTTCCACTGTTGGGAGGCTCTATTTCTTTCACACAACCATGGAACCTGCTCCACTCCTCCAAACATTGGGCTGAGGGATACGGAGATGACTCATACTTGGACCTTTCCCCTCAAAGGACTCACCTTCTATACTTTACAACTTAATTTCGTCCATTGAGCTATCTACTTCCTTGTTATTTTCTGAAGCAATACGTGGTGGCAACTCTTCTAGTGTTTGAATGGAGCCATCATGTTTCTCCTGGTCACTAGTTCTCTAGGTTAAATAACTAAATTTTCTAGCTAAACAAGTCATGAAGGTTTGGTTTCCCAAGGAAGTATTATGCAGAGACTGGGCTCTGAGTATTCAGACTCCGGTTCAAACACCAGGCTCTACCAAGTACCAGTTGAGGGACTTGATTTACTTCTTTGAGTTTCAGTTACCTGCTTGGTACCTATCAAATTCGATAGGATTGTGAGCAAATTACATGAGATCATAGCCATTAAGTCATTCACTCAGTGCCTGGCATATAGTGAGAATTATTTCAGAATGGGCACAACACTGATTGCTTGTCTCCAGACCTGGTCTTCATGATCCAGCACTGGACAAAATACTCCATCGGCAATCTGAGCAGTACAGAGTAGCATGATACTATTTTCTCCACTGTATCCATATTTGGGGGCTCTATGAGAACATGCAAGGAGCCCTGGTTGTGCAATGGTTAAGTCCTCAGCTGTTAACCAAAAGGTTGGTGTTTCAAGCCCACCAGTCACTCTATGGCACATAACAACAAGCCACTCTGTGGGAGAAAGATGTGGCAGTCTGTGTCCTTAAAGATTTATTGCCTTGGAAACCCTATGGAGCAGTTCTACTCTGTCCTACAAGGATTGCTATGAGTCAGAATTGGCTTGAAGGCGGTGTTTTTTTTTTTTTTTTGTTGTTGTTGTTTTAGTATGAAGACTTGCAGAGGAAGTGATGTCTGAGCTAAAAACTTGAAAGATGAGGAATATTTATTGCCTTGAAAGAGAGGTAGAGAAGAGAGAAGTGGAGAGGAGGAAGAGAGACTAACATCTGCCAAAGCCCAGGGATGACAGAGGCCACAGTGCAGAGAGAGTAAGTGCATCAATGCAGCTGGAACAGCGAGGTTGAGGAGCTAAGTGGGAAAAGATGAGGCAAGGGATATAAGCAGGGGCAGACAATGAAGGGCCTTATAAGTAATGATAAGGAATTTGGACTTTTCCTGAGGGCTAAGTGAGTGTGTGTGTGTATATATGTGGAGTTGCCATTGAAGGGTTATAATCATAGGAATAACATGATAAATTCTGAGTTCTTGTAATTCTTCCAAAAAAACCCAAACTCATTGCTGTCAATTTCAACCCATAGTGACCCCTCTTGGGTTTCCGATGCGGTATCTCTACAGAAGTAGATTGTCCAGTCTTCCTTCTGAGGAATGGCTGCTGGGTTTGAACCACCAGCCTTCTGGTTAACAGTCAAATGCCTTAGGCACCACACTACCAGAGCTCCTAATTCTTAGGAGAGGATAAACACACAGACATTGGATCAAAAAGTTATATCTGGGACAGCTGAGTGGGAAAAAGGATAATCCTGTGCTAAGCATATTAATGGACTATTTTATTTAATCCTCACACAATTTATCAAGGCCACTGAGCTAATTAAGCACTAGGTCTCTGAAGTCAGACTGTCTGGGTTCAAGTCCTGTTGCTGCCAATTACCAGCTGTGTGGTCTTGGGCAAGTTTTCTAACCTCTCTTGGCCTTGGATAATGATCAGACCCACCTGATAAGATTGTTGTGAGGTTTAAATAAAATAGCCCACTAATATGCTTAGATCAAGGAGCACTGGTGTGCAGTGGTTAAGCACTTGGCAGTTTGAATCCACCAGCAGGTCTGCGGGAGAAAAGATGTGGCTGTCTGCTTTCATGAAGGTTATAGCCTAAGAAACTCTATGAGGCAATTCTACTGTGTTATAGGATAGCTATGAGTCATAATTGACTCCACAACACACAACAACAACATGCTTAGATAAGTCTCTGACACATGGTAAGTCATACCTATTTTATCTTCAACTCACAATAGACACCACAAAACTTTTCTGCAGTGTCATGAACCCAAACACTGATGGGCGTGAGAAAGGGAGTGTTAACCTGATGCCTTTAAACCTCTGAAAATCTCTAGCTCCTAGGGAATCGGGGCTTAGTCTCCACTGCTGTGGAGTTGATTCTGATTCATAGTGACCCCCACTGGGTTTCCAAGGCAGTAAATCTTAACAGAAACAGATTGCCCTGTCTTCCTTCTGCAGAGTGGCTGGTGGGTTTGAACTACCAACCTTCTGGTTAGCAGTCAAATGCCTTAGGCACTGTACCACCAGAACTCCTTTTTGGGTCTTACTTAGTAAAGACCTTGAAATCATTGTTGTTTGCTGTTGTTGTTATGTGCTGTCGAGTCGGACCCAACTCATAGCGACACCTCCTTGCATTTCCGAGGCAGTATCATCACTATGGAAGTAGATTGCCCCATCTTCCTTCCTAGGAGTGGCTGGTGGGTTTGAACTGCCAGCCTTCTGGTTAGCAGTCAAGTGCCCTAGGCACTATGCTACCAGAGATCCCTCGAAATCCTTATGCTACCTGATAAAAATCCATTGTTATGGCTTGAAGTATGCCCCACAAAAATACACATCATAAATGCTGACCTCTGTGCCTGTGGTTATAATGCCATTTGGGAATAATTTGTCTTTGTTATGTTAATGAGTCAGGGTATATTTTGAGTCAATCTCTTTTGTGATATAAAAGAGATTAAGCAAGCAAGCAAAGGCAGAGATGGGGGAAGAGCAATACCAAGCCACATGAAGATCTCCCGGGAGCAGGTGATCAGAAGAGACAGCAGAGAGAGAAAGCCTTCCCCTAGAGCTGGCATACTAGCCTCCTAAACTATGAGAAAATAAACGTGTTTGTTAAAGCCACCCACTTGTGATATTTCTATTATAGCAGCACTGGATAACTGAAATAGCCATTGACAGCCTTTGACTTTTAGAACTGACTGAAATCCCCACCCACAAAGTGGCAGTCCCTACATGAACTTACTCATAAAATAAGATTTAGAGGCTTTC